CRATGTCTGAGCCGACTATGCGGGTGTTTTGGACAGCGGTTGAGTACAATATACCAGACCCTCGTCCCCAGTCCACCACTATGATGTTCATTTCGGTTCTCTTCATAAGTTGTTTTCGCATGTTTTTTATCCATCCTTCGTTGCCGGTTTGCATGTAACCGTGGATTATGAAGGTCAGTTTTAGGGTTGAATTGAATGTRGTCCCAAGKTTGTTYTCAYTGATGRCCTCGGAAGTCGACTCATTTTTAGGAGTGTGAAGRTGGAAGGTCGCAAGKGATGCTGGACCATGATTGATTTGAATGAATAAATAAATATAAACAAAAAGACACATTGATAATTCACTTAATCTAATCGCAAAAACGTTGCTAACTTCGAAACTAGGAATTTATAGCACCATTCGAATACCTTAAACGAAGACCAATCAAAGGTGAAGGCTTTCTTTTGTACTTTAATTATTTCTCTTAAAGGGACACTGTCAATKGCACGCATGCGCGAGTAAACTTGAAAAGATTAGGCTAATGTTTTCAAGTTTACGACTCCAAGTTGGCGCGACGCACGACAAAAAAAATTGTAAACGTAAACAGATCTAGAATATACCAAAGTGTGTCAAAACATTGATTTACCTTGAAGGTAATACTTTCAAAGTCCGTTTCAAAGACTGTTACTGCGCATGTCATCCATTGACAGTGTCCTTTTAATTCCCAGATAAAATTGAAACAGTTTATGATTAACGCTTTTGTAATTAGGCTCACAAACAGAGGAGCTCTGGCTCACAAAGATTCATTAAGCACTGTTACTGAAGATGAGAACTGAGCCTTMAGGAACTTCAGCTAATGGTCAGCAGTATGACTAGCAGTATGCACGGTTTTGATATTTCTTAGCTTATTGATTGAAAACATCAGGTTAAGCTGAGTGAAAGCCATATGCAGTTGATATCAACATGGCATGACCAAGCAAGCATAATAAACGTTAGTGATGAGCCTTTAATGTCTCAAACATCCTCCTTGACGATGAACTCATGACCTCAGTGAAACCACGAGACTTTTTCTTAGTTGGACTTTTTCCATTATTGATCCTACAATGCTACCCTGGTTCAAAAGAGTTAGCTTTTATTTCTTTTATATTTTTTGTTTTCGAGAAACGCGACGCTTTAGTCAATACATTTGATAATAAAAATAATAATTAATAATGAAATGGAACGGAAACAACTCGAAAACCAGATTAAATAAGTTGTTGGAACAAGGCTTTAAGGACAAAAATTTTAACGCATTGTGCTTATATTAATAAACTCCAACTTTCACATGTAACAAGCCTACTTGAGTGCAAATTGGAACAAATACCAATTCGAATAGCCGAAAAAAT